TTTTTATCTCACTTTTACCTATTTCAGTGGCAAAAGGTAAGTACTGTGTTAATCAGCAACTCATCATAGCTTCATCTGACTCCATTTTAGGCACTAATTCTATTTTTAATAAAATCAAAATTTTTAATATTTTTTAGTTTAAATAAATTTTAAAACTAAATAAAATATTTATTTTAAAATGTCTATACTCAGGAATCAGCTGAATTGTGTTGAAGTGTTTGGAAGAATTTGAGAGCAGTTCTAGGATGAGTAGCATATTTTATGAAAAGACACAGTTTACTCTCTCAGTTGATAAGGAGGTCATAACGGATTTAAAAAATCCCATATTTAGCTTGTGTAGCCCATGGTTTATCCCTGAGCAGCAGTGGATTTTCAGTGTCACATTGTCAGTCACAGCACTGGCATCAGCTAACCAAGAGACTGTGTTTGTCTCTCTAGGAGGAAACACATGACTCATTTCCTTCATTGTTATCTTTTGGCGAATGCTTGTAATTCCCCATAGAGGAGCAAACAGCCTTGAGTGAGCAATGTCGTCATAGTGACTATGTAAGCTCTGAGCAGGGTCAGAAACCATGTACTTAGATTCTTCAAGAGTGTGAATATCATATTCATCTACATAAACTCACCTGCTCACAAGGTAACACATCATCAGAACATGAACAAGAAACTTCAGGGTCACACTGAGACGCCGCCTGAAGAAAATATGCCACCTGATGAACCGAGAAGTGAACCTTATTGTTGAGTTTGGCGAAAACTTTCTCATGTTGAGTTTGGTGTAGATTTTGGCAGAATTTTCCTCACTTTCCAAGAACCATAAAAGTGCTATCTCTGAGAATTCAATGTAGTTTCAAGAGTTTGCTCATTCCAATTCTCCAAGAGTTAAATATATCACCAGCCACTGTTTAAGCTAGATAGGAGATGCTGATGTGGTAATTGAGTTTGTAATGTATTTTTGGATCTCATTTTTGACTTAACCTGATCAGTACAAATCTGATCATATTACACAGATACCCAGAGAACAGGCCCTTCTGATATTGTTCCTAGGAGGACTGGTAACATCATGAATTTTTCCCTATAAAGCAAATTTACCCATCGCACAAGGCTGCTGACTTTCTTAATCAAATAACCATCATCATTGTTAATGGTGTATGAGCAATACTGTATTAAACATCCTTGAGTAAGTGACATGTAGTTTAGCTAAATAATTGATTCTCCACTAGAGAACACCCTATAGTCCTGGAATTATGACTGTAATAGAATGAAGATAAGAATAAGCACTGAAATGTAAGTGAGGACATCTCGGCTTTGTTCCCCTCTGCTCCTTAGTCTCTGTGTAACCTTGAAGGGGTCACTTCTCTCTGTGTCTCAGTTACCAAAGCTATAAAATTAGTACAGAGGGCTTGATGTCTAAAAGGTTGATGGCGCTCTTCTCTATCAAGGCCACAGCACAGTGTTTTCACGGTGCCCTCAAAGGATTTCTATTGACCTGTTTGTTGTTTTTGAAGCTCCACTTGGGAGTGTTGTGAGTAACCACTTATCCTGTCAAGTGGGAATCATGCTGGGTGGCTTGCTTGCATCTACTGGTTTCATCCTGGGCTCATTTGCCACCAGCCTGAAGCATCTCTACCTCACTCTGGGCGTTCTTACAGGTAAGGGCACTTTGCCACTTATCCGACCCTATCCAGATGTTGTCAATCACATGAACAGTGTTTCACAAAATATTCATTTTAGTAGACGCATACTTTAGCCTATGTCTGCCTATGTAGCGGTTACACAGAGTTGGAAATGTGATTGTACTGCACTAAAGAGCATGCATCACCATTTCAAGTTAATCATATGGTAAAATAAAATAGCTGCTGCTTTTCTGCTTGGCATTTGTATGGCCAAGATGTACTTGGAAGAAGCGATATACATACTCAGAAGAAATGATATGTTACTCAGCACAAATAAATTGTCTTTCTTCTAATGTCTTTGCTAAGATACTAAAATACTATCTGTGTTCTACCCGAGTTGCTCTTGCATTATAATGAATACCATTATCTAATAAGTGGGATTTCAATTTAGAAAAGCTAGCACCTTGATGCAAATATTCTTATATTGCATATTCTCTCTCAATGTTATGGAAACATCATTTTAGAAAATCTTGATGAATCTCTTTAAACGGAAACAATATATATGCATTCCATAAGTCACACTTAGGGCACTGCATAGGACCATCAAGATGAAGTTGGCTGGTGGGACTCATCAGTGAGGTGACATGGAGAGCCGTCTCCACTCCTGCCTGGGCAGTGTGTTTTGGCATGAATCAGGCCAGTAATGGGTGGATCCTCATTGGGAGGCTATCCGTCTGGATCTGTCAACTAAAGGAAGTACATCTACCCTCTAGTAACGCAAAGGAAGGTCCTGATTGTTAAGGTGACCAAAAGGCCTAGTTTACCAAGAAGCATTCTGGTTTTAGCACTAAACGTTCCACATCTGGAAACCCATCAATCTGGGAAGCTCTAGGTGCTGACCAGTTGTTTACAGCCTTTCTTTTCTCTGACATTAGTCTTTTGACATGCTACATGTTATTTCACAATTACCTTTAGATATGTTGAGGTAAATAACCTAGATGCCATGAAATCTAAGTTTGAAACCCTTCAGACTTTCTGAACTTAAAAAAGTAATAGAAACTGAAGAAATCTTTAAAAAGCTTTCAGGACTATCAATATTTTTCCGAAGACCTTCAGGGATATTTTCATGTTGCTGTGTTCATGTATAATGTTTCCCATTGTATGATGTTTCTCACTTATGTGAAATTACTCTGAAACTGTCCAGGAGTCATAGATGCTATTTCTGTACAGATTCCAGGGTGGCACAGGCAGACTGTCATTGCATCTTCTCTGGCAGTGCAGAGTTGAGACAATTATCCAGTTAATTTAACTTATAAAAATGACCAGAGCCAGGAAGGAAGAAAGGAAGGGAGGAAGGCTCTGAAGACCTTCAGAATAAACATTATATAACAAAATGAGTCTCTCCTTACCCGTCACCCTCATTTTCAAGTAGGTATACAAAACAGGTCTAAAGGGGCTTCATGGAGGACCAGGGTCTCTTCAATCCCAGTCTTCCTCTACTGAGACTGTTTCCCAGTGGCTGCTCACTGCAAACCAGCACTCATGGAGTTTTCCTTCTCCCAGGTCTCGGATTTGCACTTTGTTACTCTCCGGCTATTGCCATGGTTGGCAAGTATTTCAGCCGACGGAAAGCCCTGGCTTATGGGATTGCCTTATCAGGGAGTGGTATTGGCACCTTCATCCTGGCTCCCATCGTTCAGCTCCTTATTGAACAGTTTTCCTGGCGAGGAGCGTTACTCATTCTTGGGGGCTTTGTTTTGAATCTCTGTGTTTGTGGTGCCTTGATGCGTCCAATCACTCTTAAAGAGGACCATTCAAGTTCAGAGAAGAACCATGACCATGGAACTCAGAAAGAAGACTATTCACCTCTGACCAAAGAATGGGCACAAACCTCCCTTTGCTGCTCTTTGCAGCGGGAATACAGTTTTTTACTGATGTCAGACTTCGTCGTGTTAGCTGTCTCTGTTCTATTCATGGCTTATGGCTGCAGCCCTCTGTTTGTGTACTTGGTACCTTATGCTTTGAGTGTTGGAGTGAGTCACCAGCAAGCTGCCTTTCTTATGTCTATACTTGGGGTGATTGACATCATTGGCAATATCACATTTGGATGGCTGACTGACAGAAGGTAAAAATCTATGAGAATACAACTGGTTTCTTTCTAGGAGAGCTTGAGCCTTGGGTATCCACTGACCTCCTTCCCCTGTCACATACCGACCTCTTAAGGTTGTTTTTGGTGTCTGAAGGCAGCTTCCTTGCTGGTTCTTGTAGATCAGATGTTGGCAAACTTTTTTGGTAAGGGGACATAGAGTAATCATTTTTGGGCTTTCTAGACCATATAATCTTTGTCATAACTATCCAACCCCTGCTTTCAAAATACAAAAGCAGCTATAGGTAATAAATATATTATCAAATTAGAGTATTTGTGTTCTGGTGAGTCTCTATGCACACTGAAATTTGTACTTCTCTTGTGATTGTTTTTTGAGACAAGGTCTCACTATATAGCCCCAGCTGGTCTAGAACTCACAGAGATCCACCTGCTTCTGCCTTCCAAGTGCTGGGGTTAAAGCATGTGCCACCACACCTGGATGCTCTTGAAAACTTTATATTTCACAAAATATTGTTCTTTTGATTGTTTCTAGTCATTTCAAAATGTAAAAAAAAAAAAAAGTACGCTTAGTTGACAGGTAAGTTACACAAACAAGTAATAAACTCGATTTGGCTCTAATTTGTTCACACTTGTCCTAGATGGTTTGCGATGGTAAATCCATCTGAACCGCACAAGCTAAAGACAACTAAAGGTTTCAGTGGTAGGTTCAATTTCAAGTCCAGACCAAGTCAAGTCAGTATTTCAACAAGACACTTTCTGGCAGATTGCTGGGGTTTTAACTTCATTTGAACGACCCCAGAGATTAGTTAGCAACAAAAGAGAAACAGACTAGTCCAGAAGGAAGATCAGATAAAATAACTACATTGTCTTTAGCCATGTACTTATGTCTGAAAGTGGAATAATAAATACTTTCATTATATTGTAGGCTTAGAAAACAAAATTATAGGAAATCTACAGCAAAGGCTCATCTGTTTGGATTGAAGAGTGTATACTGCTCATGCTGTCCGAGTGAAGGACTTGTCACATATGAGTTATGACCCAAGAGAGCTAGCATCTTGCGGCTTCTCACAAATTAGGTCTTTGATCATTAATCAGGATCCAACTGCCATTCTCCAGCATTGTGATAATATTTAAGGCTAATTTTACTTTTTTGTTACGCTGGAGATAAAAACAGGATTTCATGCCTGCTAGACAAGCTCACTGAGCTACTCCCCAGCCCTTCCACATTTTAAGTTAAGAACAAAGGGCAGGAGAAAGGGAAATGTGGCTGAACAATGATGACTCAGGGAGAAGTGGTAGGTAAGGAGGTACTGCTAGTCTGAGACAGGGAAGACCTAAGTTCCTGTGCCAGTTCTGGCCCTTGTTAGTCCCATGACCTGGGGAGTAATCCCTCAACTCTTAGATCCTTGAGGGTCTTCATCTGTCAAACAGGTTAGTGCAATATTTAGAAGCTCATGGCAGAAAGACATTTGTAAACTACTAGATCTGACATGATACAGTTTTTCAAATAATTAATATCATGAATGGGGATAGAGTTACAAAGAGGAACTGTATCGGAAGTACCACGGGGGAGTCTTGAGATAGGACTTAGTTCTAATACGCTTCATGTCTCTGGAAATTCATTTTAATGTCTTTATATTCCAGTCTCACTTTGTATAATCACTTGAATTATTGAGCATTTGTGATGTGCTAGATACCAATGGATAATATATCTCTAAGCATCCAATATGGCAGATGCCTAGAATGTAGCTTCTTGGCATGCTACATATTATTTCACTGCTGTCTTTACGTATTTTAAGGCAGATAACCCCATTTTGTGGAGGAAAAATTTAAATTCAAGTTGTTCAGGGAGTCAAGTTGCAATTTTCTGCATTTCTAATTTTAGGATATACATTCTCTTTATCACACTGTGCTTCCTAGAGAGATAAATTCTTGCATTTACATATGCCAAGAGGACAACTACAAGATAATGAGAGCTGGGAGAGATGGCTCAGAAGTTAAGAGCAGAGGACTGGCATCAGTCTTAGCACTCTTGTCATGTAGGTCACAACCACCTGTAACTTCAGCCCCAGAAGATCCAGTGCTGTCTTCTGGCCTCTGCGGGCACCAGCGCTCATGTGCACACACCCACAGAGAGACTCACACATATAATTAAAAATCAGCATTTTAGAAGGTTATTTGGAAGACAGCATACAACTGTATCAACAACTGTAACACTTACTGTGCCTAGCATGGTTCAAAAGCTCTTTTTGGAATCTGTGCGCCCTGCATTCATTACTGTTCTTCACATTCGCAGGTTTCTGAAGAATTACCGATATGTTTGCTACCTCTTTGCTGTGGGACTAGATGGGCTGTGCTATCTCTGTCTCCCAATGCTCCAAAGCCTCCCCCTCCTCGTGCCTTTCTCTTGTACCTTTGGCTACTTTGATGGAGCCTATGTGACACTGATCCCAGTAGTGACTGCAGAAATAGTGGGGACCACCTCTTTATCATCAGCACTTGGTGTGGTATACTTCCTTCATGCGGTGCCGTACTTGGTGAGCCCTCCCATTGCAGGTAAGCTGCCAGAGTCCACTGTCCGTGCTCAGGTTGATTTGGAAGGAGCGGACACATCCTCGTGTACACAACACACATACTTAAATAGAGAGAAGGATTGGCAAGATAGTCAGGAAAGAGTGAGAGACAGCAGGCATGCAAGAGCCACCAAACCATCATGGCTCTACCCACGTTCATTATTTTTATAATCTTTTCCAACAAAATAAAGATGGTAGCTTACTTGGAAAGAGAAAGTCCCAGATTAGGGTCTGGGATCCAGTCCATACTAACGATGGAATGAAGCACTTGTTCTGACTTGTAATTAAGTAGGGCATGTTCAGAAGGAAGTCTCTTTCTACACAGAGCAGTGGGTAGAGAGGCCAACTGAGCAGTGCTGGTGTGGTGATACAGTGTTCTGAGAGCCAGGCAGAGGACAGGGGTCTGCACTCTTCATTTAACATGTGTATGTACTAAATTTAGGTAATATTCAAGTCTCTGTACAAATGAGCAATGATGAAAGTATATTTTAGAAAATGTGATCTGGTCATTGATTTAGAGATTTATAACAGAGGTTAAGATTCCATCTTAATGCTACAGAAGGAAACTGATAAATGTCTAAACTAAGGCTGCTACAGTGGAAATGGAAATGAGCCAGAGAGAGAGAAATGGGGAAGTTTTGAAAAAAAATACCAACTGAACTTAGTATGTGAAGTTGAAAAAGAATCAAAAGAAAAGACTTAGCAATAATATCATAGCCTAAACAAATAAGGAAATTGAAGATAGTGGTTTTGCTTGGGGAATTATAAACTTAAAGTTTAGGTATTTGGGGATATCTAAAACAAAGAGGAGAAATGTTCACTAGAGCTTATAATTTTTATTTTATGAGTGTTTTGCCTATATGCAGGTAGTTGTACCATGTGAGTGCTTGGTGCCCGAGGAGGCCAGAAAAGGGCATCAGATCCTCTGGAACTGGAGTTAAGGATGGTTGTTAGCCAACACATGGGTGCTGAGAACCAAACCCGGGTCCTCTGCAAGAGCAGCCACTGTTCTTAAACTCTGAGCCACCTCTCTAGCCCTTCAAGGGCAAAACCAGTACTTTCGGAAACCAGAACTGGATATACAGATTTGGGAGCTATCAGATAAAGCATCTTGTTTTGTAAACTATAAAATGCCATAGAAATTTAGAGCATGATCAAAGAAATAACTTGGCCAACATTTACTAAGTGGTTAAAACAAGGAATTTAGGAAATACTACTTTTGTAGCATGGTGCTTGGTCCCAGGGCGGCACAGCAAGAAACAGGTCAGAACCTGTTTCTTCTTTCTGGAGCATGTAATCTAGGCCAATGTCTTTAGGAATGAGATCTTGGATCCCATGCATTCCTCCCTCAGTCCTTTGTAAAAACGTAGATTCCTTGACCTTGCAATTCTTGTCTCTTTGTGGATAAATTCCAGGGACCTACTTTTTCAATGGGCTTTCTTATGAAGCTCATGTGCATTAAAGACTGAGTTCAACTGTCCCGGACTATGACCTATCTAAATGAAAACCAAGAGTAAACCAGATCTCTGAAGATAGGCAAGAGAGGAGTGATTTAAATATTTAGGGAGAGGGAAGGAAGTATGTTGAAGAAGGCAGGACTTCTGCTCTTGGGTGCTACCATGAACAGTTAATGATTATGTTACAACTCCAGCAAGTGTTTAGGCCTAAAACAAGGGCAATTAGTGGCCGTTTGGCTGTTGCAGGTGGAGATTCCTGGACTGTTTAAACTGAATTGACTGGGTTTAGTGAAAAGTTAGTTTCTTTTTGAGAACTGCCCACAAAATGTTCCCACATCTCTCCACAGTCAGTTTTAGGGTTTGCCAACATCTAAGAGCAGAGCCACTCTGTTATATGTCACAAGACAGAAAAGCTGGGATTCCTGATTCTTTTCAAAACGTTTCGCCCTTCATTTGGAAAATCAGAGACATTATGCTCATTAATAGAATGCAGAGGATTAGTATTTCTTACTGTGATATTTATCTTGCTTATTTGCCTTCAAAGTGATGACTTTGGTGCTATAGAAATCCACAGGTAAATTAGAAAATAACTAAAATATTTGCAGGTAGTGTGAATCACCTTGCAGGATGTATAATTTTTATATACCATTTTGACCATTAGATTTGAGGTGGTTGAAAAGAGAAATTATGTTCTCATTTGGTAGATTTCTTGGCAAATAAATGGAATTTTGAAGAAAATTTTAAAGAAGCTACTTATTAATCACACACACAAACAAAAACAACTGCCTGGTGGTTTTACCCTACTGATTCTATGATCATTCAGGCCCATATTTTGCATATCAGATAACATGGTTTTCCTTAAAATTTGAAGCTGCCATGTTGGGATTGACGTGTTGATGAAAACAAAAATAAATCCTTGGGAGTGTGAATTTCAAACAGTATTTATGACCATGTTCTACATGAGATCTTAATGAAAAGCCTAAGAAGCAATGACCCAAAGTTCTGATATTTTTTAATGAGATGTGATTGAAATTGTATCCCACTGGCAATTAGATACTGTGCTTATTAGGTTACTTAAGAGAGTGTGTGAACTCTGGGACTCCTACATCATTTTGCATGATTATATCTGCTTAAATCCTAGGTAAATTATCCAACTTTAGTAATCTGAATGGTGGTTAAAGTCACAGGGTATACAATAAAAATTTGAATCTTTCCAACCAGATTTCATGTGGTTAATAATCCCTTATATTTATTGTGGGATTCCTAATTACCTAGAACTATTCTCAGTACTTTACTTAATAACAAGTATTAATTTATTTTAGGGATGACCCTTCCAAACAGAATGCACTTTTCAGTTGCTGCATGGTATTTTTAGGCAGTCTGCATTTTGTTTAAAATTGTAATAATGTGCTGTAGTCTATCGTGATTACCTTGACAAACGATTGAATTTGAGATTGGGTAAGTGCAGTAATTGAATTTTTAACTCGACAATGTAATTTGGCCATTGTTTGTTGCAGGATGGCTGGTAGACACGACTGGCAGTTACACCGCAGCATTCCTTCTCTGTGGATTTTCCATGATATTTAGTTCCGTGTTGCTTGGCTTTGCTAGATTTGTAAAGAAGGTGAAAAGAACCCAGCTGCGGTTCCTTGCCAAAGAATCCGATCCCAAGCTGCAGCTATGGAACAATGGATCAGTGGCTTATTCTGTGGCAAGGCAATTAGATCAGAAAGATGAAGGCGCCTTGGCGATGGCAGTGTCTGGTTGCAACCTCACATGACCAGCGGCCTTGAACCTGGGACTCTTCAAGGCTGATGGACCTGAGGCCACCAGATTGCTCCTGATTTGAAAGTATTCTATTTTGGCAGAAGAATTGCCTTTCAAGAAAAACTTTAGTACTGTTTTCTTAACATATTTATAAGGGGAAATAGCCAATAACAAAGAAATCTAGAGCAGCTTAGAATTTTCTCATTTGGGATTTGTGCTCACCATCAAGCTTAGCTCCACTGGGGAAGATAAGGACAGAGTTGATGGAATCAGCTGCATTTAGGAATAATGGCGTCACCACAGTAGAGGGCACCGGGCAACAGGTTTATCGTCCCTAACTCCCTGCCCCATCTTTCCTCCTCATTTAGAAGGTGAAGGCAAACACCTTGTGCTGTTGGCAGAATAGGGAATCACAACAGGTGTGCTGGTAGTGCGTGAAGATGCCAAAACAGTGTCATGGCAGAGCGTCTCATACTTTTAAAATCTGGCTAAGGAATATTTGCAATTTTTTAAAGGCTGTGATTAATATAAAAGGAGATTGTCTTTTATTCCCCTCTTAGTCTTCAGACCAGCCCTTGCCTCTGCCAATGAGTAGGCATCACTTTGAGAGTTCAGTCAATAACGAAATGCCGTGGTTGGGATGGACTTGGAAGGGTGGCTGGTAAGATCTTCTGTTTGAAACTGTCCCACTGAAACAGGAAGTTCTTCTGCTAAGACTGTTCCAGACACTTACCCTGTCACTGCCACATACTTAGGCTAAATTTCACAGAACTTGAGTCATGGAGCAGCCTCTCCATCTTTTATGAAATGTTAGTAATACCCCAATACTTTGAATTTTTGTTTCTTCAGAAAGAAGTTCTGATTTGAACTGCAGACAAATTCCTGTTAGGAACAAAAATGTTGACAGTATTCCAACTGAGCAGTAATTGAATTCTTGAATCAGCAGGTATCTGGTGGGAGTTGTCTTTGCAGATCGGTCATTAGATTCATCATTGCCCAATAGAGGGCTTGGGGGTTTTAACCTGAAAAATATTATCTTAGAGATACTCTGCAAATGGCATTCCATTCTCTCTTTACAATTTTGCATAACACTTAGAAACTTGACTCATTAGATTAGAAGAGTTTGCTCATTCTCAAAAGTCCCACTTTTCTGTGATTTGGGATCATTTCTGAACTTTTACAGAGGGAGGGCATAGAGATTGAAGAGGAAGACCAGGGCCGTCAGTTTATCTCCACCTGTTTCATATCTGCTGAATTAGAATCCTGAATCCCAAATCATGCCACACCTGCAAATAAGGACAGATTATGTAATTAACAGAGGGATTTTTAATTATTCAAGTGTTTAAATCCAAGAATCAAAGCCATTTAACCTACTGCCCCTGCCCCTACCCCTAGGCTTCACAAGTGCCTTTGCCAGACCTGGTGCTGAGAGAGATAACAAAGAATTGAGGAAAATCCTAGATTGGCTAATGAGGCCTTGCTTGAACTGGATTATTTTCATGTTGCTGTATTATTTTCATAATGATATACTAGCTTGATTTGATGAAAAAATGGTAATATTTCATTATAGTTTCCCACAGAGAAATTTGAATGTTATATCTTACCTTTAGACTTTAATTTTGAATTCATTCACTTTGTAATTTGTGATTTAAAATTATTTGGGCTATATCCTTAAAAATTCAACATTAAAATGAAATTATACATGTTTGGAATAGCACTTTACCTTAAATGTCACCTTTTAAATCTTAAAACCGGTTTTTGAAATATGCCTGTTCTTATTCATTTTTTTCAGTGTTGATTATAGAAAACTTTTGCTCATGTGGTTCTACAATATAATTTCTCTGTTTTAACTATTTATGACAAACTAGAATAGTGATTAAGAGAAAAAAAAATATTTTGACTTTATACATAAAATAAATTTGCATTTTTACTTTCTTGGAGCAGCATTTTAAGAAAACCAGGAGGGAAAATGTAGATTTCAAAGTGTACAATTTTGACACCTATACAAAATTTTGCTGTCAATATTCTGTGTACCTAAACTGTTGGTTTCCAAACTAAAGAATGTGTGGGCATGATGTATTTTATGGGATCAAGAACAAAATTACAGTGGAATGATTCTATGCCTTAATTTTGGTTTATGCAACTCTAAGTTCTCCCTTGGAACTAAGTAGAAAGACAGAAAAATTATGTAATTCTCTGATGTACCATTGGTCCCATTGTTCAAATTATAATTTTACAAGTGGATCAGATATGTAAGCTAATGTTTTCCTATTTCAAAGTCAAAATAAAATGCATTTTTAGCCACATGTTTGGAACAATTTTTCCTTTGGATAAGGGATTTGAATGGGTTGGTGAGTGGGCCTTGACAACTCAAAACCCTTCACTGAGTACCTTCTAGAATACTACATATTATGCTAGACACTCTGTATATGCCTTCCCACTTAATACTAACCTATGCTAGTGCCACTCTGTAGAGGTGGAAATTGAGGCACTGGTTCCCACAGTAGCAGCTACTGCACTCTTGTGCCTCAAGTGTGAAGTCCCCAGAACAGAGATGCAGTCTAATATTATCCAGCACAGAAGCCTGCATCCTTCCCTTTGTGACTATTCAGATTGCCTTATTTGGGTTCAAGAAGCCATTTACAAACACATCCTCCCTTGGATTATGCATCAGTCTTCCAAAGTACTTTAGAAAGGAAGATTGTACATGAGATATTTCTAGTTTTCCCAAGAGGTTTTTAATCAAAAACACTACTTCCAGCAAATAGCTTACACTGCTGTGGACTGATGCAGGCTTCTCTTTGGGAGCATTTGGGGTAGGGGGTGGGAAGTGGGAGGAAAAGAGTTCTTTCAAAGGAAGGAAAAGCACCCCTTTGTTATGCAGACAGGAGTGCAGCTTTTCTCAGAGCTCATTTCTCATTTGCTGCATTGCAAGTGTCTGTTTGGTACCCTCTTCCTGGTCCTCAGGAGATTAATTTGAAAATTACTCATGGAAATGAAATAGTGTGAATTCAGAGTAGATAAACCAAGTTCTCACAGTTCAAAACTACAAGAAACTTGAGTTTCTTAAGTGTTTTTAGACTCTACCAAATAATAAAGTTTTATATCTGTTACCAGAACAATTATCTGTGACAGATGACTTGGAAATTTCCCATTACCCATTAGTACAGAAAAGTATTTGATGGAAGGAATAGGAAAATATTAAATCATGATGGAATGATTACATTTAAGAGAAAACATTTCATTATTGAACTTTCCAAATATATCCAAAAGGCAAATAGAATCATAAAATGAACTTGATGCACACATCCCTTGGTATCTACAATGATTTGGCTCTTATTCTCCCTTCAGATGAAATGATTTGAAATGTATTAGCATATCAACATCACATGTCTTCCTTCAATCGCCAAAAAGTAACTAAGTTTGGCAAGGTAACTTGTTCATGCTGCAAGACATAGGCGCTACACGCAATATCATCTATTATGAGCCATGTTACTTACAAAGTGTATTGGACCCTGCTCTTACTTGCCATGGGCTTGGAGTTGAATGCAAGTGAAACCTTCCTCCATCTCTCCCAGTGCCACAGGTGGACTTATCTACTTGAAGCCGAGGGTAATATCAAATAGGTAAAAAGTACTTGTGAGACCACTATGGCTTTTACTATCGCTATTCAGTGTTTAGGGGTCTCTTTGAAGGACCTAGGATTGGTCTAAGATTAAATTTAAAAACACTTTTGTTTTGAGATCTTAATTGAAATTAAAAGGTGTTAAATTTAATGGTGTGTGTGTGTGTGTGTGTGTGCGTGTGTGTGTGTATGTGTGTTCATGTGTCTGAGTATGTGGAGCCCAGCAGTTAACCTTGAGTATCATTTCTCAAGGGCTGCCCACTTTATTTTTTCTCTCATTAAGACCTAGGGCTTGCTGATTTGGTTGGTGGTCAGGGAGGTCCAGGAATCCAAATGTCTCTACCTCCCCTACACTGAGATTACAAATGTATGCCACCAGGCCTGACTTTTTACATGAATGCTCAGGATCAAACTCAGGTCGTCATGACTGTGAGACAAGTCCTAGTTTTGTTGTTGTTGTTTGGTTTTTGCAAAATTTACTTATTTAGAATGAAAAAAGAACTCACAAGTGTCCTAGCTTCATTCCTATTACTCCGACCAAAACAACTTGGGGAGGAAGGGGTTTATTTGGCTTACATCTCCAAGTCATAGTCCATCACTGAGGGAAGTTAGGGCAGGAACTGGAGGCAAGAACCATGGAGGAATGCTGATTGCTGGTCCCCTCCCTGGCTCTACCTTGGGTTCATGCTTTGTTAGCTTTCTCAAACAACCCAGGACCATCTACCTAGGGATGGGACTTCCCACAGTGGGCTGCGCCTCTCTATAGCCATTAAAATGATCCTTTATAGACATGTCCATAGACAATGTAATTAAGAAAATTACTCAACTGAGACTTTCTTCAGGTGATTCTAGACTACGTCAAATTGACAACTAACATTAGGACAACACATTATAAGTTTTCAAAAGGTAACACAATTACCCAAAGGAAAATCATGGTCTTTTAAATTTTTTTTTTTAACATAATCTTTAAAACACTCTTTGTCTAAGTATTTTGTTCTATACTTTTCTTAATGCTTTAAGTATTAATTTTTTTCTTTGACAATTTTACATGTTAAAAAGTACCTTCTGATTTTGTAACCCCCCCCACTACCGCAAATGTCCCTCTGCCATTACTACCTCTTCCAACAAGTTCCCATGTCCACACCTTTTTTTTTAAAGACCCACTAAGATTAACCAGGATTGTCTATGTGATCATGGGAAGTATTCACTGGAGCCTGGTGGGTGCTTCAGTGGGTACACAGCTGAACACAATCTCTGCCCCTCTACCAGACTGCATCAGTGGACAATAGTTCAACAGAGAGGGTAGGACCCTGTGAGTACCTCCCTATCCATCCATTACTGCCTGCTGATAGGCACAGCCTTGTACAGGCTTTTTACTAGCACCCATAGCTGCTATGAGGTCATGAATGTCTTGTCTTCAACCCTAAATTTAACGTTTTATAGGCAATTCTTTTAATGTTTCCCCATTCAGAAAAAGTGCTTCTTTTGTGATGGCTGATTAGATCCTCACTGAGGAACATAATGACCAAAGAGGGAGAAATCCTGGACGGTAAAGGCAGAAGGACTATGAAGGGGACGAAGAGGTCTAAGGGGAGGAAGGGGAAATACCAGAAGGTACTAGGATGAGGGTAAGAAAGACAATAGTGCATGGTTTCTCACGGAGAATCTCAATTTTAAGTGTGTGTGTGTATGTGTGTGTGTTCCCACACATATATGTGTGACTTGAAAGCAGAAGGGGGAACAGTACTCACAAGGAACACTCCAGAACACAGGGAAATGGAAGACCATGTGCCCCAAGTACAGAAGGGTAGAGTTTGGTGTACAGACACCCGTCAGGCTGCTTCGTAGGAAATCTCCACACTAGGGATTGACCAAGTCCAGAAGTCCCTGACTGGAGTCTTCTCCCAGTCTATGTCTGGCTGGCCCCCAACTCATATGGCATCACTGAAAACTAGCGTGCTGGCAGCAGCATTTTTAAGAGCTGGTGAGGGGAAGTGATCAACAGACACTATAGCATTTCTCCGGCACCACATTTCATACAGTGGGGAATTAAAACACATAGCCCCACTCCACGATCTCAAGCTGACTGCATCATTGGCAAAGCGAAGCTAACTCGGTTACTTAATGTCTTCTTGGTGAGAACATTAGGATGTTCTAAAAGCTCACCCGACTGGAAGGGTGGCATACAGGGTTCCGGAGGAAGAACTCATCATGAGCTGAAGAAATGTAAAGCAGATCTCGGGAGTCCCCCCAAGGAACTGAAGATAGCTATCTGCTCCTTTCCCTGCTGAAGAGACTGGAAGTGGGGGAACCATGTGAGATAGCCACTTTGTGTGACTGCCGAAAAGCAGAACCAGGAGCTGCGTGACGTGACGAACATTCCGATGAAGGAATCCACAAAGGTGCCTGGGAACTTTGCTAGGATTTAGGAGTTGCATTGGAATTCTCGACGCTGAAGAAGGAAATTTCAAGACACAGGGCTGTACTCCAACATTCACCTCAAGGGCAAAAAGGAAGCATACATGGTTTTCTGACGGAGCTTCGAAAGCATGGGAAGCCATTTTAGCACTGAAATGTTGTGCAGCACTGCCACCTACTGGATATAGTGAGAAGTCACGGCGCTTCAATTGGTCAACTTAGTATAACAGCCCTTAGCACAAACCTTGAAATTTGTTACATTTCTTGTCTTCCAGGCCCACCCGCTGCTAGTTATCCATCTTACGTTTATCCTCTTCCCTTTATAGTCCAAATATCGAGATAAAGATGCCGTCCTAGGCCCTTTTTTAATTCTCCACTGTGAGCTCTACAAGTGAATTAATTAATGTGTTGATAAAGGATCAAGTGAAAGTGTGAGACGCATCATCTCAAACATTTATCAACAGTCAAAATTTAGAAAATGTTGAAACCAAATTACAGGAAAGTGGGTTTGGGACAGCTAGGAAATATAAAACATCACGTTTATTATACTATATTCAGATTATAACAAAGTTAGCGATTAAATTTCCTTTAAAATGTGCAATTCACCTAAAACTGGGAGGATTGTTTAGAACTGCAATTACCTTCAAAAGAAACCACATCACGTTGCAATGAAAGATCGTTGAATGAGGCCACTTGATGAATTTGGTTATCCACAGGTGTGTCTTCGGCTGAGGATGAGGATAAGTAAAGAGAGGTTGTTTCCTGTTCCAGAAGGGGATGATCAGGTAAAGGGAATCAGGCAAGGCTCAGAGTCCCCAGTCTCCCTCCTCTCTTTTCCATCTTTCTCCATCTCTCTGCACTTCCCCCTCCCCTTGCAAAACAAGGACTATCTAATATTAAGGTGTAGATTCTTTTCTTTCCTGAGACTTTCTCAGTAAAGAAGTTTTTAGACATAAATGGCTTGTAAATAATTTTTAGTGGAGACATTTGTTTTGGTTTCTATATGTATTGCCTATTTTGGCCAGACTGCTAGAGTTGGTGTGGTATGTAAAAGGGAAAGCCTGTCAAGAAAGGTGAAACCACTCTTGGACCAAATGAATATTTAATTGGATTAGGGTCCAGAGCCACTTTCCAGAGTCCATCTTCTAGGGGCCGAAGGTGAACCTATGGGATGTTAAGGGCTAGAAAGTCCTAGCCTACATATGGTGGTTATTGTGTTAGAGTTCTCTGTTTTCCCTCCTTTCCTCCCTCCTTCCCTCCCTT